CGGGATTCCCGTATTCTACCGAGGAGGAGAATTTCACCGGAAGCGATGTACAATCGTCGCGACGCCGGCGGGTCGTGTGCCACGTGAGAGGGAAGGGAGATGGAGAGGCGTCGCGGCGCGGCGCGGCGCGGCGCGACGGTGGATGGAGAAGCGGTAGACACTCGCGACGACATGGAAGGTGAATTTGGGCGCGGGAGAGATCACGAGCGGTAGTGAAAAATGAAGGTACGAAACGGGGAATCGCACGAAGGGAAGCTTGACGCATTGCGGCGGGGAAATATGGGTCGTCCCGATTATGTCGGGACGAGCACCGCGCCGGAATCTGACAGTGGCAGAGTGACGCCGCAAAACCTCATACATCTCGTGTATAACTAATGTCCGCATATATCACCTCTTCGTCTCCTGTGTGTATTTCCTTTCCTTTTTTTTTTTTATTTCGCCGAGCAATGCATGCCGCGCGTGCGCTCAGCGGAAGCTCGTTCCTCGTGCGTTCGAGCGCGATGGAACATGTCCATTTCATTTAAATGCAACGCGGAAAACGCGCGCATCGTGCGCTCCACCACGCTTCGGGCGGTATAGACTTTATGGAAGATAGCGCGCGAGATGATACATTACCTTCTGACCCGCTTCACTTCCCCGATCGCACGCTCCGTGTCATTGTTTGAAAATCGTTTCCTCTTATTTGCAAATTAGTCATATTCTCGGATATTTATTAGGATATTTACTATTACCCTGCCCGTGAAATAATTTCTTTGAAAACTCATACCGACACTTAATGTGAGAAATAACTGGTACGTTAGAAATTATTATTTTTTTTTAATTTTTTAATGTTTTTTCTTATTATTTGTCATATAATGAAAAAAAATATTGAGCAAATTAACAAGTATCATAATTGTTAATTATAATTCCCCTATTTTTAATAATATAACTGTTATATGTTATGTTACAATTATATTGTTGAATGGAAAATTATAACTAATTAAATTATATTATTGTTAGGTAGTGTTGGCTGAGTAGGAATATCTATAGAAAAGATTTTTCGGAATTCAATGTTATTAGTTTTCGATATATCGTAAAATACTACATTGCGCTAAATACTATAGCGCCAACATTGTGCGTTATAACATCGGGTAAATATTTATTCTAAACGTAAGAATACATAAACTTACTCTTTAAATTCTTTGGAGTTGAAGCTCACTCTAAGAATGAAAATTGAACCAGTCTTTAAATAGAATGATTCAATTTTCAATCTTTAAGAGATTTTACTTTTTAAAGTGAAATTTACTTTAAAAATTTTAGAGAGTAAATTTATATGTGTTACTCTTCTCTCTCAGAACAGAAGGAAGAGAATAGAAAATTAATCTAATTTTAATATCGTTTTGTTTTTATACTGTATAAGGTTACAATAAAATCAGTACTTCATTAAAAGTACGTTAGGAATTTTTGTTTTATCATTAGAAATCTATTCCGAGAGAGTATATAAACGTAAAGAAATATCATAAGAAAATTAGCATAGTTTCCTACATTTTGTTAAATATCTGAATTTCCTCATGAGAGAAGGAGAGAGAGAGAGAGAGAGAGAGAGAGAGAGAGAGAGAGAGAATTAATTCCGTTAAAACTTTGTCGCTTTATCTTAAGATACTTTTTTTATTGACAGTGATGGATGTTTATCTGGTTCAACATGGCATCAATTCGTTTTTGCAAATTGATTTCATACAAATTTCAATTACACTTTAACCCTTAAACAATTTAATATAATATCGGTCAATCGGGAACAAATACAACGCCTTGCTTCGTACCAGCTTCACGTCTTTTCGTAGTAGGTGGTCCAAACAGTAGACGAAAATTAAAGAACGTTAAAAGGACATTGTGCTCGTTAGCACGGTCAACCTGCTTCAACCTGCAGCGGGCAGTTAATTGGTGTTCGTCCGGCGAGGAATACCGGTCTTTGACGGGTCTGTCTCGAGTAGCGGTCTAAGGGTTGTGTTTACTCTGTGGACAAAGTCAGCAAGGCCCGAAATGCCTGGACAATACGAAGCAGTGGCGGTAACTGAAGTGTTCTGAATCCTTCGCAGTTCGATCTCGTTTTGAGATTTTCAAGCGCCGTCGTGTTAATCGACCACCGCGATCGTCACCATTGTTCTATCACACCCAAGAGTCCTTTCACGTCCTTTAATCGGTGCAAGACGTCATGCATTTAGACGTCCACGTTTCGTGCACTACTGATTTTTTTTCGTATTTCTCTCTTCTTTTTTCTTCTGTCTCCCTTTCCTGGGTGCGACAGCGACGTATCCATTTTTACCGGTGCTCGAAGCTTTGCGTTTTCTCGAGTGGATTCCCCGCTTCTCCCATCTCAACCTGCCATATTCCTCTAGCAGGTATGTGCACGAACATTCACCCCGGTACGAATGCAGGTGTGCGCTGGGCCGAATAAGCCCAGAAGAAGCGCGAGGATGATGGCAACTCGTGCGTCTCCAAGCTTCGTCGATGTCGTCGTCGTCGTCGTCGTCGTCGTCGTCGTTGTCGTCACGAGACTGCCGCGGCAACCACTTCCGTTTGTGCGCGTTTTCATTTCTACGAACGTTTCGTCACGCTTGTCACATGCTTACCGCACGAAAGAGACCGCGGTCTGGTAAAAATATTGTGATGGTCGGTAGCATCGTTATTGTCCACCGTTCTGAGTTCGCCACTACCCATCGGGCGGCGAACGATGCAGAAACGTATGTGGTTTACACCGAAAAGAAAGCATGATATACGACGTGGTATAACGTTGCGTAAAAAAAATTCCATTATTGAAGAAGATACATTATGTAAAAATATAATACGTAAAGTTGAAATTATAAAGTACTTGTTTTATACAAGCTCCGACTGTTTCACGATAAGCGTTACGTAAATTATTGCGACGTCAGTAAATTGACCTACATAAGCACATTATCGTTGATAGAGATGCACATGCGGCATTTAAATAGAGCCTCCGTTTGTAGCTCGAGTTGAAATTAATAAACCTTTTAAATATGAAATATACCAGATGCATCAGTTTGATTTTTTATTTATTAACTAAAAATGAGACGTGCAAATGTCTTAACATTTAGTATGTATATATCAATAATACGAATAACACATTAATATTTGCTATGTTAGGTAATAATCTATGTTAAAATGCTATGTTAGATAAATAATCTATTTATTATATGTATCTATGCGGTGGTCATACGCTAATGTAAGAATTAAATATATGTGCACTGTGTGAATTAGATATAGGTTTCGATAATGCATAGCTTATATAACAAAATTGTGTGATAAATAGGATCTTTAAAAGGTGAGAACTTATCTGAATACTATCTGTAGCTTTAATCTGCGTTTGCATTCTCTCTCTTTCTTTCTCTATTTCTTTTTTCTTATTTTATTACATAGAATGATATGGCAAATATCGATTCACACCTGACAGACTTTCACAAATATAGGCATAATAACACATAAATGCATTATTCTTGGTATTCAAAGCAGAAAATTACATGCATATTTTCAAGATATCCAGTATGAATTTTTACATAAATTTTACATTTGCTATGTAAAAAGTTGTGAAAATATTATAAAAATATTAATAAAATAATCTATATCAACACATTTATATTTACTCTTAACGACATTCGACACGCAGGAAGATAATATCGTGGCTGTTATTATTATGTGCATAATCTACCTAGCTTATCTCGATTTGGTCGACGAAAAAAGATGACACGTGTGTTGAATATAATTCGGTGGGCGTTACTATATGTTGAATGCACAGATATTCAAGACTACGGTTGTCTGATCGGCGGGGAGTCCCGGGCTATGCTACGTTTCTCATCTGTTTGGACATGGGCTCACCAGGGAGACCCCATTATCCTCAGCCCATAAACATTAAGCGTCTCGCCGACGAATGTCCGTTAAGAATGCTATCGTGTGCCACTGTATCGCGGCGAGAGGCGACTCGAGCTCCGGTGTTGGCAGCCTACCGAGATAATAGCTGGGACATTCACATTGGATATCACGCGAGTGAAACCTTTCCGTCAAGCCGTTAACGGAGACGAAATTGTCGTCTGTGCTTGTGTAATCAATGCTCGCTTGGTTTTAATTATCGTCGGAGAAACGCGGCATGAATAAACGCATACCGCTACGAAACCGGTTTTAGAGAGAATGATCTTGTCGCCACACGATTGCTACCTCGTCCGTTTTCAAAGAACGTTTGTAAAAAATGAATGTGAGATTTTGAGAATGAAAATAATTACTTTACACAATGAAGTTAGATGATTAAGTGCAAGTGATTAAATCTTTTTACTACGTTCCGTTAACTGTTCATATAGTAGCTACGTCTAGTAGTGAACAAGCCTCATCTGTTGAATTTTTAATGATTGATAATGTATGATAATTGCATTAAATAGGTCTATAAATTATATCGCAACGTATATGTGTAGAATACTACACATTTATAAAAAAAATTAAAGTGAGATTCTATATATGACTTGGCAAATATAAGGTGATGTTGTTTTACATTAAGGAATCACCACTTATGTGCAAATTACTGAAAGTTAAAACGCAGCCGCTTCCACAGTTTAGTTTAGTGCTCGTGTGACCGTTGAGCAATTCGTATCGCGCAGTCTTTCGTAACGTTACTAACACATTGAGTTATCCATATCTAGTTCCAGTGACTGCACCCATCATTCAAATATATTTTCCTAATGTACATACGTTGTTTGTCATCTTTTTCTTGTTAATGATAAATTTATCGAATGTGCGTGTAAAATGAAACTATTTATACGAAGTGTTTTTTGTAACTGTCTTATGATTTATCCATAAATTCTTTTGTTAAAGAGAAGAAAAATTTTGACGTAAGTATTGAATTAGCAGATCTCAATCTATTTTTATTCAAAACAGTATTTTTTTTAAATTGTCGAATCTTTAGATAGGAAAGTGTTAATTTAAAAATTGAATAGATAGCAAGGAATAGACATAATATTACGATATCAGTTTTATACATTGAAGTTTATAAGCATTAACTGTAAACAAAAACATTTATAAGCCGTGTTCCGATATACACTGTGAGTATTGAAAATCTACAGTATACGTAACGTACACTATAGATTTTCAGTATTAACAGCGAATAATAAAACGCAGCCATAATGATACTTTTGAAAATGAATGTCGTCAGTCCATACAGAGAGAATATTGCATCGCGATACGGAAAACTTGAGTAAGAACGTTATCTCGCTTTTAGCAAACAAATATATTTAGCAAACATCTGGTATTAAAATTGGAATCGGAATCGATATCGGAGACAGGATATTGTTTAATTAAATGCAGCATTGAAAACAAGTTAAACTTGTGCCTGATATTATTTAACATATGCAGAAGGAATAATTCTGAAATACTCGTTTTAATACATAGTAAGGTTTACACGAATGTTTCGAAATTGTTTTCCTGCATGACAATATTGCTATTAATACACAACCGCGCGCGCGTTATCGGTACAGAGTACAACATATTTATTAACGGAATTAAGAAAGACAGTGAAACCTCGAACCGTATTTGACTTTATAAGTGACAGTGAGTTTCTTGTTATACGATCTATAATCTCATGTCGAATGTAGGAATGCTCAGCGTTAAGACGTAAGTCTATAGAAAGATATTTGTGGAGGAGGAATCTGAGTATCGAGTGTGCATGGGTGCCGTCTCATCGTCGACGATATAATTTGATAGTCGTAATCTAGCAGTTGAATGTGCGAGCGAGCGAAACCGAACTGGTGATTGTATCGATACGAAAACAAACGACGAAAACGGCGACACTGGTGCAACGATTTGAAACGTAATGGTCATCAATGTCATCGATTCATTAACCGAGGTTACATTGAATATTCAGAACGATGGGTAAGGAAATAATTTCTCTTCTCTATTAACATTTATAATAATAAAATAATTAAAGCAATAATTTCTTTCTCTTTTGCAAAACATACATTTATGTGCATAATAGGTGTTCATATTTAATATATATTATATATATATATATATACACAGTGTAGAATGTGTGTGTGTTCTTTTCTATCTAAATGATAAATTTTACTACCTTGTCATCGTTCTCATTTAATTTATGATATTATATATAAGTAGAAGATTTTATTTAACTCATAATTATAAATTTATATGTAAAAATAGTATTTTTTTAAGTAGTATCGGCACATTGTAGTGTAAAAGTAATATTTATTCACACACATCACTTCTCTTTCTTTTACTTTCTCTCACTTTCTCACATTTCGGCACGTAGCAAATTGTAAGCAAATTGTAATTTACTAGATTCCATTATAGGTTAAACAAACAATTAAATTTTATTTTTAGTAGATATCATTCTAAATATCTTTTATAATTTTGACCTTAGAGATACGAGTACGATACTTGTTTGCTATTATGCTGTGCATAGCGAACATGATTATTTATGGTCTGAAAGTAAATATCGCGACGGCTATCATCGGTATGGTGAAAAAAAAGCCGGGTATACCGGATTGGTCAGATGAGTGTCCGGAATTTGATGTTCCTGGAAATTCCATCACCGATATCGACGGTCCATTCGATTGGACAGCAAGCCAGCAAGGTTTGGTTATTAGTATATACTTTGCTGGATATCTTATTGGCATGTTTCCATCGGGATATTTGGCGGATCGGTAAGTGTTTTAATATTTCAAATCTTTTTTTATACATATATAAAATTATTATTATTATGAAGTAATTCTTTGAGCTTATAAAAATACTACGGTATGCACGTAAATGCTATCAACGTCGCACTGACAGATAATTTTTGCATTTAAGAAATTAGAGAATATACGATTCAGTCATATAATTGTTTAATATTTTATTTATTCACATATATTTATAAATTCACATATATTTGTAATAATGAAATATATTGGATACAGGTTTGACACAAAGTTAGTATTGTTAGTCTGTGTGCTGGCAAATGGAATCTTAACAATATTGGTGCCGATCGCAGCAAAGGAGTTGTATGTACTATACATTATTAGATTTTTGACCGGTCTTGTGAGCGCAGCGAATCTTCCTATAGTAAATGTTCTTCTGGGAACATGGGTTGTGTACGAGGAAAAAAGCACATGGGTCGGCATTATATACGCTGGAACGTCGCTCGGCACCGTGATATCTATTCTTACCTCGGGATTGATATTACGTTACGTGGGCTGGGAGGCCATCTTTTACATCCACGGCACGACACCGTTAATCTGGTGCATCATCTTTTATATATTTTTCGCCGGTTGTCCGGAAAAACAGAAGTACATAACGGAGCATGAAAGAGCGTTTATCGTGAACTCGTATGGTCATCGTACACCTGGATCCGCAAAGATGAAGATTCCATGGAAAAGTATATTTAAATCGGTGCCATTTTTGGCTCTGATCGCTACGAATACTTTAGGCAACTTTTGTTGGTATTTCTTGCTCACCCAACTGCCGCTTTATATGAACAAGATATTGCGATATGATATTACATCGGTGAGTGTAATGGAGATATATTAAGATGTGTAAATAAATTCTCAATTAAAAAAAAAAATACATTTATTAATATAAAAATACCGGTACAAACATTCTAATCAAAATATTTGCTTTTCGAATTTATATCGCTTTTTGTTATCTTTTAAGTAGCATATAGATATTGTGGCTAAAAGTGGTACACAGCGCGATTTATTGTTTACATTGGAATTATTTTTAAATCTTATAAATACCAATCTTGATACATTCTTCCTGACATAATATTGTCTCCATAAGTCTGATAAAATATTCTGGTTCTTTAGCGGTGGTTCTACCGCGATAAAAAGAGTAAGATATGCAATGACAAATATGTACTTTTTCAGTATTCATTTTCAATTAAATTAAAAATATTAATTGTTTAACTGAGCATTGTTACATAACTTTCGAATTATAGTGCTTAGTGAACCTTACTAATGGAAAAATAATTGGCTTAAGCACACCGTTGTTAGCACTATCTAGAGTTGACTGCGGGAACTTATTTATACATCTCATATATGTAATAACATATAATTTCCTCTTGTATTATGTCATATATAATTATTTCACGTATTTCAAGTTATATTTAATCCAAGAGGTATTACGAGAGAGAGCAGAATATTACGGATAAAATAATATTTTACATATAGTAATATTTTATTTTATTCTGTATGACGTGTGCACAGTTACGTGAAACAGAACTCAAGTTTTTGCCTAAATTTTTCCTGAAATACTTTACAGAATGCCGCTATCGTTTGCACACCGTATCTCGTGAACGCCTTCACTAATCCATTAATCGGACGAGTTTTAGATTGGGGACGGAAAAAAGGATTTTGGTCTCAGACATTTGCACGTAAAATTGCAGTGTTCATAAGTATGTATTTGAAATGAAATTCACAATAATATAGCTCTATAGATGTTGCCTTTTTGTTTTATATAAAAATATAAGTCATATTTACAGTAGATTGAAAATAATTCCGTAAATATCACAATTTTTCAATATTTATAAAAAATTGAAAAAAAATTGTATAATTTTCATTAATAATCACTTTATTCGGTATACATTCTGTTTTAAATAATTAATAAAGTTAGATAGCAATTCTCTCTTTTCCTCTCTTATTTTGCTCAGCAATTCGTAGCAATAGCGGATGTAATAGCATAAATTAAAAAGAACTAAACTTGAATTATACAGTTTACATATTAATTATTGAAAAATAAATAAAGTATTGTTTGTAAATTTTCTGCCTGATTTACATAACCGCCGTGATTTTGAATAATACACACAACATTATAATTTTTGTTACTATTTTTAGTGACAATGCATAAATTACTTCTGCAGTATATGAAATTATAATCGATATAAATTAGCTATATCATGTTTCGTATTGAATTTTATACGCTATAAAATTTGTATGCATATCTTTAAGTATTTTATATATCTAGAAAATGTTTATATGTTATGATAAAAATTAAATATATTCAGTACAGCTTTTCTGGACTTGTTTAAGTGTCTGATATATATATATATATATACGTAATATATACGTTTGGCACATTTTTCTCTTTCAGGCACTATCCCACCTAGCATCTTTCTCGTTATAATCGCGTACATTGGTTGCGCTCGTGCGACGTCGACTGTGCTGCTAACCTTGAGTATAGTAGTCTGTGGTGCTATATTTGTCGGTCATCTTTGTAATCAAAACGATCTGGCACCAAATTATGCAGGAATTCTCATGGGTATTACAAATACTCCGGGCACTATTTCCGCCTTTATCCTGCCACCGATAGTTGGAGCTCTCGTATCGGAAGGAGTGAGTTGAACACTTAATGCATGATCAGACAAGAAAACGAAAAAAGAGTCCATTAAGAGCAACGTGACATGATCTCCAATTTCTTGAATTTTTAATAAGTTATGCACAGAGATTCCACTTTCTTGAAGTTTTACGAAAGGTGAAACGACTTTAACCCGATATAAGAAAGTTAAGCCGATATTCGCTCTAAGAAAGACACTGAATCTTAATTGCGTAATCAACTGTGAAGTCAACTTTATTGTAACATGAAATCTTTGAAATGAGAATTTTAATGTTATGTTATTTTTTTATATTATTGTAATGTCTAAAATATATAATTTTGGTATATTAAACTTGATAGCTTATTTTAAAAAGTACAGTTGTCACACAGTAGCATTTTCAAATTAATGTTTTTTATTTTGATATTAATATTCAATATCTTCTGACAGCACACTATAGCGCGATGGAGAATCGCATTTTGGATTACCATCGTCGCCCAAGTTCTCGCTTTCGTGATATTTGCGATCTTCGGATCAGCCAAAATTCAACCATGGAATTATCCGGTGGCTGACGTCGAAAACTGGGACGTCGATGACGGACAACCACAACAAGGACAACGGCAACAAGAAACGAAGACTTAAATTGAAACTACCTTTGTACAATTCTTATTAAAAAAATCAAAAGGAACATTTTTTTTTTATAGAAAAATGTATTCCGCCTGTTGCATAAGAAATTTTATATAGGTAAATTAAATAAGTACGATAATATAAGTTATCGTCAAACGAAATCAAGAAATTTGTGATTTTTATACATTCCTTATATATTCACATTTAAATCAATTTTTTATATTTAGATATATTTCATTATGAAACATTTTCGATGAATCTACTGAGATTAATTAATGGATGTAATACTTAATTATATCACTTTGTATATTATATATACATATCTGTGTATTGGTAATATTTTATAAAATATATTTCAAGAAGGAATTCTGTTGATAATATGCTTTATAATATTATTAATACTAACCGAAGTTTTAACTGTCTTTTACGTGCAAAAATTTTACAAAATGTAGATTGTACAATTAATATATATCTATAATGTAAATATATACGAGAAATTTAATAAACACATTAATTATATTCATGATTATTTCTATTTATTTATTTAATTTGAAAAATCAAGAAATTTTAAAGTTGTGAAAAATATGTATCTAATATCTACATGAATCATTTTATACTTCTGCTTGACGATCTCAACGACGTGCCAAAGTTCGCGAAAATCTCAGAAATGCTGCTACTTGATGTGTCAAGCTTTACGCTAAGATAATGAGGATCGCGAGACCAACCTTAATGACGGGTAACCAATTAGGGGCCACCTGGTACAAAAATTCTTCTTATCCCAATTAGATCACCACGTCGCGAGACTGTCAATCAGCGTGAGACGGACGGCGGAAAAGAAACAAGAAGACAGCACGAAAGGGCTGTGTCGACCCCAACAGTGCGGAATATTTACGACGGTTGAAATATTACGTTTGTAATCTATTTCCAGCCTACAGTCGCACGCTTCGACGATTCGGTGAAGCCAGGATGCGAGTGGTAACTGCTTTCCTCGCTAAATCGTTTTCTTCTTCCTTTAAATATTACCGACAACCGCGATAGAAATCTGTGCGTTTCCGAATGAGAGAATATTGAACCCTTCTACTTCTTTGAGAATTTTTGAAAATTTCATTAGGAAAGATTGAAGGAAACGAGATGGATATTACACGCACGTTCGACGTTCTCTACCAGATTTTATTTTCGATCTAGAAAGTATTGGAAAGTTATCTTGGGAAATTTAAAAATTTAGAGATTACTTCCTTTCATCGACAAATATTCTCTTCTAGCTTCTTTTTTTAAAATGTATATCGCGTTTCAACATAACGTAACGTAACATGTTGTAATGTATTTCTCTGAGACAATTGCAATTCCTTCGAACTTATTAATCTCAAAATTGGTATATATTATCTTCTGATGGTGAGGCAAGTATGAGCGGCAAGAGAATCGTTTGGACTTAATATTCTGGTAAACTTCGTTGCAGGAATGGTCCGATACGCGCAAGCGAGAGCTTCTCTTCATCGTGTTTACTAATTCATGAGATGAATAACTTAAGGATAAGCGCTCACACGGTATGAATAATGCTTATTCGTCTTCTTAACCCCTTGAGTAGATGACTTGTTCCATCTATCGATGTTTATGCGTAGTCCAAACCTGGTTCGATCGATTCATCATTTCAATCGTTACCGATGTGGAAAAACACCTGCCACTGTCTATCACACCTGCTATGTTTCTCGACCAGATATTTTTCAAAATACCATTCACTCAAAGCTTACAATTAATATATATATCGATGTCGATAATTATTTGATCATAGTCTGAATAAAATATCTACATCGACTAACTTTGGAAAAAGTTTCCCGGCGGGTGTATATCTTTTGTGTTTTTACACTTTGTTTCAAGCTTACATGTGGATTCTAGTTTTGTATTATAAAGATCAATATAAAAAAACGTTTATCGAATTAATTGAATCCTCGCATTTATTGCAAAGTTCTTCGAATCACCAAGTCCAAGTACGACTCATATATTCTTATTATGATGAATGTTTTTTTTATTTTTTCGGTTTTTAACGCGTGACTGACAGCTACCGCTTCGTCTGGAATCGGTTGTCCGAAAAGACACGGCAGCTAATTTACATAGTCTAATATTTTAGGAAGATTAATCGATGCATACGGTAGGCGATCCGAGCATAACGGTGACGAGTCAGTGAAAAATTCTCTCCGTTTCCGAGTTATCTGTCAAAATGACGATTAATCAAGCGGTAATTATAAGTTCCGAGGATCTTTCGTCGGGCCGTCGTCTCGTTTGCTTAGAGAAGCACGTAGTCCGTAGTTGCGGGTCGCTCGACAGAGGCGGTTAATCAATCCTGGAGCTCGTTACAGTCGGGCACTCCGGTACTTGAAGTGGCGTTAACGCATCCGGAGCGCCACTAAAATGTCAGGAATTGTTAATCTACCCCGTCGCGCGCGCGCGCACACACACACACACACACACACACACACACACACACACACACACACACACACACACACACACACACACACACACACGCGCGCGCTTAATTCACGCTTGATAACATACTGCCGAGGAGGAAGAGAGAAGAGGTGCATCATCCACCTCTCGCGCGGAGAGGGTTGCCACGAATAAACCCTTACTTTCCAGTTTCTGCCCTCTGACCTCTTCCTCTTCGCGCCACAAGCTCGCTCTTGCTCTTCTCCCAGAGAACCTTGGCAGGGAGACATTCGCCTCCAAGCAGCACCAGACCGCACCGTTATTACTAGCGATAAATCGCCACCTTTAATAAGAGCTCGCGCGACGTACGCCAGACGGAAGTCAGAAACGACGACGACGATAGCGGTGGTGGCGACGGCGACAACGATTACAACGACAACGACGGCGAAAGGATGGTGAATTTAAGAAGCGAATAGGATCGAATATGCTATATATATTCAAACGATATCCATTCGATTTTACTGAATCTTTCCTGGCGATGGCCGATCGTGCGTTAGTCCTTTATTGTACGCCACTCTGTGATGGCTCGAACAATTTAATTTTGGACATCTCGCCGCGCGATAAATATTTCGCATATAAAATACCTGCCGGCGTTACGAAAATTTATTACATTTACTGGAAGATAATATCGTAACGCCTATATTTGTTATACGTATAATACGCGCTATCAACGTGGTATGGAGTTTTCGGTGCTTGATCCGAGGGATATGGTACACTGATGATTTATTGCTGTATGTTTTGATTGACGTTGTAACAAGATAGATAAACGTATTTCACATGACGCCGCGTTTTAATCCTTTCCATTCCTACATCGACGTTATGCCATTATGCTGCATCAAGCTTTTATCTTATAATATCAACAAGCAATTATCAACATATTCAAATATTTTTTTAACATCTTGGCGGTATGCAATTAATATATATAAATGTTTCTGTCTGTTTAAAAAGTTTACATTATCCAATAGATGTTATATATATATATATATATATATATATTACTGTATTTGATTGTTTTCTTAGATTGTAATCATGTAATAATTATTACATTAATATTTAATAATTCAATTTAATATAATTTAACAAATTAAATAAAAATGTTTAATATTAATTGATATGAATAAAAATGTGTGTAGAATATATTACGACGAAATTAAAGAAGCTGGAAATATAGTTGAGTTTCAGCTTTTCTAGCTTTTTCAATGCTTGACGGCATGCTATTTGCACTTGGCTTAGTTTGTACACTCAGATTCTGCGTGCTCATTAGAATTGTAGAATATCATTATTTGAATTTTGTCTTAAAAGCATATCAAGCGACATACAAAATGGGAACATTTGAGATATAATTAAGTTTATGGTTTAATAATCGTTTTAATAGTCTCTTTAATTAAAAAACTATTAATTGAGATTACTCGACTGAGAAGCGAAACGAATTGACGCGAAATTTGACTTCAAATTCAAGGTACCCATTAAAACAGCGACAAGAATATATAATAATTTTCTAAGAAAAGAAATAAGCTAAATAAATCAATGAATCCGATAGATAACAAATACTATTATCGCGCGCGACATACTAACAAAATATTGTTTTAATGTCTCAGACTCATCGACCGAAAAACTTTATTGTGACGCTTCCTACTCGGATCTCGGCTCACCTGATGGTTTAGTATATCGAAATTCTTTTACGTGAACAGGAAGCGGCATTAGCGAAGAAACGGTTGCACGTCGGTGAACGTGAGCTGGGTTAGCCACTGGTGATTGTTACAGGCAGTCGCCAGCCACGGTTCTCGCAGAGAATCAAGACTCTTTTTCCTTACGGCGCATCGTGGCAACGATCTGGCAGTATATCGCGAAGGGAAGGGAACGGGGAATGATTCCGCTAAGAAACTCGATACGCCAGGTTGCCAAGGGATGCGGAGGGATAACGCGGCCGCGGCGCGGGGTGGTAGTTGAGAGCCCGTAACTCGGTCACCCCGTTTCCAATTGACCGGTTTTCTCTCTCGCGGCGTAGCCCGCAGTTCGACTGCATTGTACGAACTTCCTGCAGATTTTAGCTGTCACCGCATTTCATATTTTAAACGGACCGGTAACCGAGAGAGGGGGAGAGAAAGGGAGGAGACCGGTTCACGTGTCGCTCCGGGACGATCGACGTTGGACACGGAAAGCGTGGACCACGAGCGCGCAAACCCTGCGTATAAATATGTATATTCGAAGTATACACATAGGGCACAGGGCCAGCGCGCGGACCTATGTCAAACTGACCAACCGCGCTGCAGCTTCGCGGATTCGTGACGGGAAGCTTCAGAAGAGACCGCTTAATCGGTGGTCGTTGCTGCCGCATCGGATTTTGATTAGCGCGACCACGTCACGTTTGTCCGTTCGTTTGTCGACGGATAAAAAAATACATCACACACGCCACGGCGCATTAACTCATGCACGGCTATACACGCGCGCATGCATATATACATTCACTTGTGTCTGAGTCCATTTAACATTTTCTGTGTTCACGTGCACGGGCTCTCCCTCCGCATTTGCCTTTGGTGATTTTTTAATCACCTCTGTTAACATATATGTCTACATAAATATATATAAATTCTGTTCAAATAAATCATACATCCGTGTTTCCGAACAGACATTTTCTGTAACGTTCGTCACACCAGTCACACCTGAAATTTGTCACTTGA